TAAATATCTCGGTTCGCGAGGCAGAGCGACACTTTTTTCTGCCAGATTCTTTCGTTTCATGCAAAAACGCGTCGAATGAGTCTAATTTTATCGAAATCGGAGGTGAGGGAGGTATTCTGAATAATTACCGCAGTTTTTTATATTATATGATGTTTCAGATTACCCTAAAGGGAGATTAAAACGATAATGTTGTCGCCGTTTGCTGTGTCAAGTGTTGCAAGCAGAAACATTTCTACTTCAACCCCTGTGAGTCAGATAATTAAATAGAGTTAATTGAGAGTAGTGAATAACAGCGAAGCAAGCTATGATATAGAGTAGACCACTACGTTGCATACACGTGTACGACAAGCGCTGGACAAGGGTTGGATATATCGGTGAAACGATGAATGAAAAACTACATAACAGATATTATCATTTTATAGGAAATTTATCTAAACATTGTTATACGTATTATTCAGGTGATAGAATTTTAGATGCTATAAGAGGTGAAAAGGAAAAGAACATATTGGTTGGATTGAAACAGCAACAGGTCCTTAAAGTTCCCAAATTTGATAGCAACAATCTGGTACTCGTAGACGACAACGGCACAACTCTTGGTACAAGAATACAGGTGCCTATTCCTCATATATTCCAAACGAAAATGAAAGAACAGACTTACAGCAAAGGAGCAGATTATACTAAACTAATAGCGATTGCATCCATGTTCGTTTAGTATATTTAGCCTACTATTATATGTATTAAATATTTCATTATAATATTGTACTTATTTAGTATTTTCCACAAAACTTGTAATATGGAAGTGTATTACTCATGCATCTCTGTGTATTTTGATGTATATTAATATTTTAGTAATAAAATTATCACATTTAAACCTATTTTTTGTTATATATGCACTAGAGATATGTTCCACTTAACACACCTTTGCAATGTACGTGTCATCACATTATCTCATCCTTGTTTAATGTTTGATGACAAGGATGAAATGATATCGCATATTCTATGTATACATGCTGTGACTTTAGTACGTAAGTATAGCGCTGGCAAGTGTAACTTTAGTTCAATTATCAGCCACGTGATGTCTATCACTTTGTATTTAAGCGATTATTTAAATTAATTGTCGAAGTTATATTATGCCTATGTTAATTGATTTGATATTTTTATTAAGATTTTAGCAAATTACATAACTTTAATTCTTCGCCTTTAAATAAAATACATTATCAAATTTGTCTTTATCGAATTTGCAAATCAAATTAGTAATGCAAATAATCCTTCAATTCCCGAAAGCACTTGTTTTCAATACGATTCCTATATAAGAATAGAATATAGATGAGTATTTCGGATCCTCAGGGGTAGAGGATCGGTAGTCTGATACTGGTGAAGAAAGTGTCCTTTGCTGTCCTTAATCTGGGAAGTTGGAACAGAGATCAACATGGTTTAATCATCAAAATCTTTATTCAATAGTTTCAACAGGCTCGGCTACAAAACAATACAAAGCTGTGTTTCAGCATTGCAAGTGTGATGAACGGCTCTACGACCCCACCGAAACCGAAAAAAAAGGTCTGAAAAAACAGACCCAAAAAACAGTTGGACAGCATTTGTGTGGGCCCTACAAATATTGTCCAGTCTACAAAAAAAAAATACAATAAGCAAATAGTCAATAAACTAATGTAATCAATAAGCTGTACATATTACTAACTTATTGATTAACTCTAGTTTACAACACTAATACTCTAAAACGACTAAAACCAACACCACGACAGTATTATTCCGTACCAGTATTACATCACACTTCTGTTGAACACAGCTTGATATCAGTTAACAGGAGCCATTGGACAGCAAAGGCACTATCCTTATTCTATCAGTAACGTCGACTACTTTTTTGCGTTCAGCATAACGCAACAGTTATTTTGCTGTTCAAAAATTTTTATGACTATCTAGTCTAAACGACCCGAAACGCACTCAACATCTCGCAACACGTTTACTTAACGGTCGCCATGGTCGCCATCATGGTGGAAAGAAGAAAATTGAGTCACTTCCATACCTTTCGTGTTGCTTGCACTTTTTGCTCTCGGCATCTTCTCTTTCTCTCTTCTCAAAGCCAAATATATATCTATCTCATTTTAAGTGCAACGATATTTGGGGTTTCATGTAACACGAACACACTATTATTCACCATGGTTAAGGAAACCACCATGATGGAGTAGGTACCACAGTTGGTATCATCAGCTCGATTATCATCACAGTCGGTATTTGTGCAGCGATTGCAGGTAAATACGTGGAATTACCGAAAGATAGAAAGCTTTGAAGTCTTGCGACGTCCGCGAGAGATCAGTTTCTCACTTGGTCGTCGTTTCGTTCCAATCGCGGAAGAACGTGATGGCTTTTATTCGTGTATGTACATAATACTGCAGTCAGCAGTGTATAGTGTACTTCGCTGTGCGTTTTCCTTTCGCTCTCATTCTCCGCTACGCGAAACGAGCGAAGAATAACGCACTGCACTTAAACGGTAAAAGGCCACGAGTCGCAGTGACGTGCCCTCGACAATTTTTCGCGACGCACGAATTTGTGTCCCGTCGCCGGCACGGCGTCGCCAGGTCATCGCATTTGACGAGCTCCAATCGAGTCGAGAAACGATAACCTAATTTGTTGGACGTGGAGTATAAACCGTAAACGGTTGCTTAATTTGCCTGTAGGACACACAGTGAGTAACATTTCTGCATCGTCTGCAAATTCTTCTTACGAACTCGACCAGCTCGACCAAGTGTTTCATCGCGATAGGCTTTTTTTTCTGTTTCCTTTTCTCAACGTCGCTCACCTTGTCCTTGTTAACATTGCGATCACGACATGCACGAGTTCGTGCGTTAATCGCTAATGACATCCTATTATTCCTGTTTCGTGTAAATTATGTATGTAGGAATAAGAATTGCATGTATCGTTTGTGTGCTGCACGTATATATGTGAATTATATACGAATGTTTATCGGCATGCTCGTAATTGGAGTTTTATTTGTCAGTTGCGAAGGTTAAATTTGTTCTCGGTCAACATTTATCTCGTATATATAGTTGTTACATAATGTATATTTTTTGTTGTTAATGATTTGGTTGAATTTTATAAGGAAAAAAGAAATTGAAATTTGAAAAATATTTTCCACTTTTATTGAAATATTCAGATTTGTAGCTTTTAAACTTTTACCTTTTACTGAAAAGTCCCGATGATTCACGTTGGGAAATCAGATAACCGTTTACGGGCCAGATCAGAACCGTTAACGAGCAAGCCATTAATACTTTTATATAAATTATTATTCTTATTTTCTTTATTCCCTTTTGTGACTTTTATCATATTTTCTTTTAAATTAATAACCTCTTATAACACACATCTGTATTATTTATGGGCATATTATATATTTAAAATATTCCGAGCACACAATGCAAATATCATAAAATTTTCGTAAAAGTTATTTAAAAGGAAATTAAATAAAACATGTATGTATTATTAATCAAAGAGATGACAAACCTATAAGACTAATTGTAAATAAAACCAACACTAGTTTTTCGTATGTATAAATAAATAATTAACTAAATTAATGTAAATCTTTCGATAACTTAAGAATGATGTACATACACAAGAATGAGTGAGGACTCCTTATAATTTCATGTAATAAATTAAGAATATATTTAGATATCAATTTAATATATCAATCTAATATATCAATCTAATATAACAAGAGATATCCTACTTTAATAATTTATGTCATTCTAATAAAACCTGATTGATATAATCTATGTCATATTCTAGTAAAACCTGATATCTGGTTTTATTAAACTATGATATAGATTATCAGGTGTTATTAGAATATGACATAAGGTTTGTTCTTTTTGGCTGAACTTTTGCATTAGTTCATCTTTCTGTTTTTTCCTCTTGAAGAGAAAAGGAAGAAAGATCACCTGGTGCAAAAGTTTAGCTAAAAAGAACAGGTCTATAGATTATTAGAATAGGATATTTCTTATTACTTATATTAGATTAATATTATAACACACTTTTAACACATAGCGCAACTCAAATTTCAGCGCTGATTTTTAATTAGATAATATATGTTATGAAAATCAAACTGTGTAACCAAAGTCAGACAATTCAGATCATAAAAAGATCCAGTATATTTATATACGAGATTGAATATTTTTCTAAACTTCCTCATGAACGACATACAAAAAATATATCTATTTGCGTATTTTTCTTGGATCTCTATAATTTAAATTATCTGACAGATCTGACTTTGATTGCGTTAATTGATTTCCACAATGATATATGATCTAAGCATTCTAAGTGACTATCATGATGACGTGCGCGAATTTATAATTTATAATTTAGAATATGCGATTATTATACTGAAAATGGTTCAGAACGTTTATACTGATTTAGTTAATAAAAATTTATACACGAAAAACTAGTGTTGGTACTTATAAGCATTTTATCTTTTTATATTCCCACTTTATTTCATATTATTAATGATTTTTGTAGAGTTTTATAAGAAAAAAAATGAAACTGAAACAAGTTCAGCTTATATATTGCTGCGTTCGAAGAATGTGTTGTTAGCTCTATTGCGCCATTTTATCGTCGCTTATTTTCTAACGAATGATAAGAATGAAGATAGAATGACGCATTTACACTGACAGCACATTTCCCAAACGTAGCCAAAGTATAAGCTTATTATTTTAATTTAATTAAACACTACAAAGATTATTAATAACACGTATATATATTTTTTACTTAAACTTTTTAAAAATAATTTTGTTTTAAATTTTATAATATTTGCATTGGAGTATTTTACTTGGAGTATTTTATACAATACGAAAATCAGAGGATGCAAAAAAAAGTTAGTCGCCAGCGTGCAAAAATAATTTTGATGCCCTAGAAGAGTGTATGTAACAATTTGTATCTAGAAACCAATTTAAAAAAAAGTAGACACAAAAAGAATCGCCTTAGATATGAATTGTGTGCTTTTTTTCCAGTTCTAATTCTTACAAACTTTCTACAATAAGCTATTACCTAAGTTTTAAGCCATAAGAAATTGACCAATCACACAGTCGAATGTGAGAAGAATAATCGACTATATGACTGGTTATTTACGGCTTGAAACTTAGGCAATATAGTTTATTGTAGAAAGTTTTTATTTTCTATATCCCCATTAGGGATAAGCTAAAAGATTAAAATTAATTTATATTGGTAGAAATTAACAATAGAGGGGAGGAAATCAATTTTTTTTAAGACGCTACCTATAATATTCAGGTATACCTGCGATTTTATCATAATATGTTCAAGCATAATTCAATGAATCTCGGTTTCGATCGCCTCTGGCTTTGACTGCTTGCTATGCACGCGTTGCATGCTTGCCAGGTATACTCCTGAATATCATCTCAATGGTAAAATAACATCTCAAAGTCGGGACAGAGTCTACCTCTCGAACGTATGCCTGTGATGCGCACGTAAGTTGTAGAAAGATATTTGTAGCGTCAATTAAGTGTGCTTAATGAATACAAAAATTGAGCTCTAAAAATTGTATTTATTCAAGATTTTCACATAAAAAAAATGTAATTATATATTTATTCAAAATTTTGGTTTTTCAAAAAATATTTATTTACAAAAACCTATGAATATTTAACGTATTCATACTCATTCAAACAAAATATAAACTGAAAAAGAAAGTTCCAAAAGCAATCCTTATCCCTTAACTATATAACCGGCATTTTGATGACTTTAAGTAAAAAAAAATGAATTTTATTTATTTTTGTTATTGTAATATTCAGATTTTATGAAGAAACTTAGAAATTTTGAAAAATATTTTAGAAAGCAATACATTTTTTATTTATAAATATCTATTTGATAGAGCACCATACATAATTCCAATATAATTCCAGTTACATCACAGTAATGTTATAAAAATTTTATGAGATATCTTGGGCGCATCGTTCATTATGATCTGTCTGACATTAAATTCCGAGATATATTATTTATTCCCAATAAAAATGTCTTTGTTTAACGTGTTAAACAAGGATGTCCGTTATATAAGTCGGACTAAGCGCGCGGTGTTATCGTAGCTATTTTACTAGGAGATTAGTTTTATAGATTTCTGTTTTATCTTGTAGGCTTGCAAGCTATGTGCAGATACAAAGTAAAAGTGAATACGAAACGAAAATATTCGTGATCATATTAAAAAAATATTCATTCAAATAAAAAATTATTTATTCGTTTCTCGATGAATAAAAAAGAAGTATTCGAATGTGTATTTTTATTCATTTTTTATTCATTTATTCGAATATTAGGTATATTCACCGGATACACTAGACATATGAGACCTACAATTTAACGCTGATTCCTAACAGCAGTTTGAGAGGTTTTCTTGGCAATAGATAACTCTCTTGGGGCGTGTTCGAATTCTGACCCCGGTACTTCTCGAGTATGATGTCATCCTTATTTAACGTTTGATAAATAACAAGGATGGAGTGATGCCTGGGTAGCACTCGGATGGGAATCTGACCATAGTTTTAATGGTTTGCTAGACCGTCGAAAAAGAGCTACGAACGCGTGAAAATTTCTTGGATCTGCTGGGAATCGAACTCAAATCCCCTAGTATAGATCAGAGGTCTATTCGCGTTGCTTGAAATCTCCAAAAATTTTTGAACTTAAAATGAGATAGATATATATTTGGGCATTGAAAAGAGAGGAAACGAAGATGCTGAGTGCAAAAAGTGTAAGCAACACGAACAGACCTTATCAGGTAGACTCGCGCGCTGTCAATGGGAGTTTTCCAACAAGAGGCATAGATGACACGGCGTGGCACGGTGAATTTCAGGCGAATCGTTGTATCCTTGTTGTTTGCCAATGTTAAACAGGGAGGGGATGATCGCCATGACGTACATCTTGTTGGAAAGCTTCCTATGTTACGCTTGTGTTTTATATCCTTGAATATTCCATATAATACACAGTTGCTAGAAAAAGTTATTACAAAAATTTAATTTAAAAG